CTGGAGTATGGATCCCAAATTCTTTCTATAAAAAAAAATGGCAAAAATGGAGCCAACCGAACCCATATAATTGTTCCTAAACCACGTATCGATCTATTGTTATTAAATATAAATATAAAATTATGATTTAAGATCCATACATTTGAGAAAATAACACTAGGGTTAGGGTAGGGTTAAGGGTTAGGGTTAAGGGTTAGGACACGTTTAAATTTCGCTAGATTTCTTTTTGTTCTTTTATAATGTGTTATATATTTTAAAATATTTTTTTTACAATGTTATATAAATTTGGATGCTATTTTAAAAGTTAAATTCCTGATTACAGTGAATTTAATAAAGAATTGCAAGAGTGACTAGAGATTGACGGTACGTCAAAATTTACAAATATGGAATCTTATTTAACTAGGTATAATGGCGGTGTCCCGGTTTGACTTATAATTTTGAATACTAATCGCTTGCTGTTCGTCTGTCTCTGTTTGGACTAGCTAAACAGCTTTTTGAACTAAGATGTGGGAGACCGGAGAGCGTGTGAGTCCTTAAACGGGAAAACTTCAAATAAAATTTAAATTATTTGATAATATTGAAATAATTATATCTCATTTTATTTCACTTATAATTGACTTTTTACTTTTTTTCAAACAATATTTGGGGAAGGAAGAGCACACCTGTGGGAAGTGTGAGCTTTCTCGTAAGGCGCTCTCTAGCCGCCAACACTGATTTCATTTTTAAATATAAACTAATATATTATTTATATAAGGCGTTTTTTTTATTATTATTTTATGAGGCAAGGTTAATCCTCCTCCATTTCGACCATACAAGATATTAGCAATTATCATAAATTCCTGAGGTTGTTTTAAAACTCAATTCCTCATGGTTTCAGCCAGTGTTGTTAAACTACCTATCTTTAGTCAACTGTAAAACACCGTAACTAATAATTTAGCCAAAAATATTCAAGTCAATTTTCAGGTTGAGACTCAACTGAGAAGCTTGATTCAATTTTTTATAAAAACTGGACTGCCACCAGTGGCGTAGCTAGGAATTTTTCTTAGAGGGGGTCCATACATATAAAATCCTGAGGCTTCACCCCCAGACCTCCTTTAACGGGACTTCGGCCGGGTTTCTCTCAAAAATCATAACCATATCTTCGATAATATATAATAATATATTTTTAAATGCATTAATAATATGTTATCAATTTAGTAGATTATTTTCGATGAATAATAATACTATCCAAAATAATTTCAAAGGTAATTCCTTCCACAAACATCAAAACCAAAAAAATATAAATATTAATGGTATTTATTTGATATATAGTCATTTATTTTGAACGTATAATCTAAAAAAATTTTTCTCTGATCAATCATTCCCTTAGGATTTTATAAGCTCAAATTTTTAACACTCTTGTTGCATCTATTTGTCTAGTTAGCAGCCTCTGAACAACAACAAAAAACGGTAACTAACTTTTAGAATAATTTGTTAATATAGATTCTAACACAATTTCTGAACCTCTTTTTGAGCAGGCAGGCTTAAGAAAACATTTGCGATTAAAGTTCCCTGAAGAATAAATTATATTATTTTATTAATATGTGCAGCATCAGGTAGTGGAATGAGATCCTAAATGGGGATCTCTATGTTGAGAAATTGTATCAAAATCAAATATCTCTTTCAAATAATATCGAGTTAAAAGTATGACAGAACAGCCAACGAGGAGGACTACGCCAGGCTAAACGACATGGACCTCGGAGGTTTACCACAGATCGATGAGACGATGCCATGGATATTAAGAGCGTTCACACCCCTCTATATCACTGGTATAATGGTTTATCGAAATTGCCAATATTTCTCTATCTATCGTTCCCCAAGCCTATTATCCTTACATATAAATTAGCGTTTAGAGGCTTATAGTTTTAAAGCAGTCCTTTCTTTGCAGCTCAAGCGTTTTTCAAATTAGAGTAAAAAATACAAATTTTAGACAATCAAGATGTGTGATAAACGAAGGAATATAGATTGACATCTTATGTTTATGAAGCGGTTGAGAAGAATCATGATTGGAACTGATGAATCAATCAACAAATGAATTGAATTATATATAAACTCAATGACATAGAATAATACCTAGACTGACTATGCATTCATTAGAAGTGTACATCAATGAAAAAAGAGCCTGGTGACGCCATTTTGATTGCCCATATCATTACAGGAAAATTTTGAGGCCAATTTATTCCTATATCTGAAGCAAACTTTATCAGGTCCTGATCTCGAGATAAGTAGTTTTTAACATGAAGATTATTACTATATAGGAGGTTATCAAAATGGCGGGTCCAGCTGATTTGTCTTCAACCGACCCTTTCAGATGCATTTATTATTATATCGTTGACTGATTTAAATATAACGTATAGTTCGTTGTAAACATATTTTATTATGAGATATTATTATAATATTTCAAATATTTTATTTATTCGCTTCTATACTTGAAGGGAAAAAAATATAGACATTTAAAGGTAAATTCTACTAGCTATAACGGACTATTTTTAGCCCACACCCTAAGGGAAAAGTAGGTTAATTAACTGTAAATAATGATTGTCGAAACAATTAAATAAATCAAAATTATTAGACTAAATAAGTTATTTTAATAACTCCAACAATAAAATACAATGCTATTATTTAAAACTAAAGCAATCAGCCTCTGGTAAAATTTTACATTATAAAAGAATTTTCAAATTGATATAATATCACTTAAAATAGTTATAATTATTGAATAACTTAATTTTTTAAATGTCAATAATAATGACGTACCGTCTCGTCTCCTAGTATGATTCTAGATGCAGAGCATATGATCGTTCATACGTCATAAGAAAAAAAATGAAGGATTTTATTATATAATTGAGGGGAGTATCTAGAAAATATTTGTTTATATCTCTCTCTCATTAACAACAATCATGGCCTCTCTTCTTTTTGTTCCCCTATTATTGCTAGAACTCTCCGACAGTTACAACCTAATCATATGGTTTCTCGTCAGATGTCCATATCGACATAGTCTGTTTGTACGTATCTATATTTATTGGGAGCCCAATATTGGCTCATGCTCCATAACTTTGTTCTCTCGTAAATGCTACATGGCATTCGATTTTTAACGTGACATCTTTTCTAATGTCTTTCGGGCTTCCCCGTTTTACCCAGCCAGTGTATCTTTGATTTCCCTTTCTATGACCCACCACCATTAATTCCTCGTATATTTATAACGAATCATCTATCGATTTTATAGTATATTCATTCTTTCCGTGTGCTTAATTCTGTATCCATATTGTTCTTTAATCTTCGGCATCCATTTATCCCACGTGACTCTTAATAATAGCCAATCCTCTTCTGTAACATGTAACCCCATATTTTTTTGTTATCCTTCTGATTTGAAATAACGTTAGATATGTACTATATGTAATAGGGAGGGGGGAAGAAGGAGGAAACATTTATTTAGGGGGTAGGAAAATTTTATGAGGGGAACAGGGTACATCTAGATGCTTGCACATATAATTACTCTTATGAAAACGCTGCTCCACAGTATATTAATATTAATTTCAGTTAATCTTTTTGAATAACATCTCCCCTTAATAAAGATATTCAATTAACATAGAAGTTAATTGAGCAAATTATTATCTGTCATTATTAATAAATATCTATGTTAAGAAAATTAATATATTTAAAAAATTTTGAATATCAATCATAAAGCATATGATGTTATATATATTCAAAATGCACAATATTATCTTATTTATATTGCTTTAGCATAAAAAACGAAAACCGCGAATCTTTATTTCTTAAACAAAAACTTCAATTGGAAATTTTTAAACACATTTATATACTTGCTTTTTAGATACATTTTCATTATAAAATTAAGCTCTTTTTAGAGCCTTCGATACTTTTAATATACATTTTTATATAGTCATTTTATAAATTTTTCCATATTTTTATATTAGTTGTTTTAATATTTTAGTGTTTTATCATTTCTTTTTTAAAAGTGACAATGGTCAAAAAAAAGAAATAAATAGATTATTGTAAAATTTTTGCGCAATTACTTTGGAAAGAATGTCAAGTAATTGTTTTTTTTAACTTTATATAAAACATATTTTTATTAGGGAAAACTCATATAAGTAATACTTGATATGGATGGAAAATTAGGTAAATGTTGAAATCAAAATATTCTAGGTTTGAACTAAAGCTACTTGTTTACTTGATCTAGTGAAAGGCAACAAATTCTTGACTCAGGTTCCAGGTTAATATATAGTTAGAAGGATTAGGAAGGTGTAAGTGTACCACCTTTCCCTTTTATAAATGTAATTTGATGTAAATATATGATGACGTGCACTCTTCAATCCTTTACCATTATCCCCAATTTAAAGAAAGAAAGAAAGAAAGAAAGAAAGAAAGAAAGAAAGAAAGAAAGAAAGAAAGAAAGAAAGAAAGAAAGAAAGAAAGAAAGAAAGAAAGAAAGAAAGAAAGAAAGAAAGAAAGAAAGAAAGAAAGAAAGAAAGAAAGAAAGAAAGAAAGAAAGAAAGAAAGAAAGAAAGAAAGAAAGAAAGAAAGAAAGAAAGAAAGAAAGAAAGAAAGAAAGAAAGAAAGAAAGAAAGAAAGAAAGAAAGAAAATATATATCTTTTTATCATCAATTTACAAATGAATATAGGAAACTATTAATCAAACACACACACAATGATATAATAAACACAAATCATATTTTGAGACTGAAAAATGTATTTTTTTGACATTATTTAATATTTGAAAACAAAGACATATATAATACCTAGACTAAGGATTCACATTAAAAATGTACATCAATGCAAATCATCTGGAGACGCCATCTTGGTTACACTAATCATTATTAAAATTTTAAACGAGCGTCTAATTTATTTCTATATCTGATGCAAACTTTATTAAAGAAATACGGGATCATTGAGAAAATAAATAGTGTGTTATCACTTTAATAGTAGTTTTTAAACATGAAATAATTACTATAAGTGTTACCAAAGTCCAGCTGATTTGCTTTTAAAGACGCTTAAAAATGCAATTTAATGAATGGATCGTCAGTCTAGGTATTATATATGTCATTGTTTAAAATATGAAAAATTTAAGTGGTATATATTATACAATCCGTGTTTGACTCCTCTTTAGTTAAATAACAATTAGAATTAAGGAAGGGGGGGGCATTCTTTGAGACTTGGATCGATTATCTATATAGAGAATACTCTCTATTGGCATGGAAGTCATTTCTTTTGACAGCGTTATGGCTTAAGTTGCTTGATTTAGAGCTTGTCACCTTTTGGGCATTTTGATGGATATTATTCTTGTCCGCGAGGAAGTTTCGATTATAGAGGGCGATATCTAGATCTTCGCTAGAATAAATTGAATCGAGGTTAGAAGAACCACTACTCACATTCCCAACATTCTCGCGGGTTTTTATAATAAGACTTTTGCAATTGGCTTCTTTCGCATATAAACTGTTTGATTCTTCGGTGATGGTGCTAGGGGAATGGTGCAACCATTGGATATAATCCGCGCCCTTTTTCGCGAGCCTGTAAGATTTGCGCGTTATTATCTTGAGAAGGGACCCATTTCTCTTGTACCTGTCTCCAATAGGTGATAAACACGAACTTCTGTTGGGGTCACTATTAGAATTGGTTGATAGTGTTACAAAGCTATCCTAAAATTTATATAAAAATAGATAGATATTATAGAAAATGGGGGGGGGGGGAAGAAGGTTTGTCATTTTTAATTCCCAAATGTTAAATTTTTAGAGGACATCCATAAGCTTGCACTACGAAATGGTATATTATTAGGACAGGGTTAGGGTGAAATAATAAGGGGGTTAATAGTATTCAAATGAACCAAGAAAATGTCGATAGTAGCTTTAAGTTTATCAAATGTGTAACGAATATTCTAATTTTGAAATTTTTTCAATGTGATAAGTGTATAACATCCATTTTACTATAAGTCCCACGTATAACATTGATTCGACCAAATTCTGTTTACCGGAAGTCAACGACAAGTTCCTGTATCCGTTTTTACAAATTTCTCCATCCCTCGATTCATCGGAGATATCCTTCTTATTTAAAATGCGTTGTTTTTCTTTCAAATATCTCCTTTTTTTAAAAAATGTTAATAAGGTTTTTTCAAAATTTTGTTCGAAAATAAAAAGAAAATTTCATGTGGTTCGTTCCCAAACTTATATAATGATGCTTGCTACAAATGGACATCTGCTAATCAAAATAGTCTGACGTTTATGTCTTGAGTGTCCTTGTGACAGTCGAAATGAATGGAAGGTATTTACTCTACTTATTAAACTTTGGGATTCACATTTTTAAGGTTAGTTTACAGCATAATTTTTCTGAAAAATTGGTTCTGTCCGGATGTATAGAAATTTTTTTTTCTTTAATGACGGGTTTAACAATAATAATTAAAAAAAATTTGGCTAAAGAAAACGATATCTTTTTACGGTACGGTTATCAGCTGGTGCAAAATCATTCTAAGAACTTTTTAAAATTATCTTTATTCTAAAAATGAATATTTTCTTCTCTTTTTTTAAGGGGGGGGGGGGCATGACAAATATCGTATTGACTAAAAATTAAAATTATGATGATTAGTGTCAAAAATTGATAACTATTTTATTTTCCTAGTGCAGTAAAGTGTACAATGGTGGTCCAACTATAATGTAAATTATCTTCTAACGTTTTATAAAAATTTAATAATCTATCCTTTTAAAAAAAATTATCTATAATAATATCAGCTGAAATTTGATTATTATACTATTATATATAGTGATTATTTAAGAACAAAACTTTAATATTTGAATAAAAAATGAAAATTGAGGTCTATATAAGGGCGCAAATTAACATGTGGGATTTGTATCGGTTCCTAAAACCCGGGTTTGACAGAAAAACTTAATTATCCGGGCCGGGTTGTCGGGTTGTGCAAATGGTGTGGAAATTGTGTATTAATAAATTGTATATGATTTCTACGAAGTTGGATGATTGATAAAAAAGGGAAACGGGATGAAGCGAGAACATATAAAGTGGAGAATGTTATAAAAAAAGAATATAGAATGTATTATAAGAAGAAGAAAGAATAGAGACTTGATATGGTCTTTTCCGCGTTGGTATTTGTCGGAATTTTTCTTCGTTACCATGATGAGGGCAAATATTATGAATAGGATTACAGATACCGTTAATGTAACGAGGATAGCTTAAAAAGTGTATTTTATTAGTAACTAAAATTATCAAAAAATTTTATTGGCGTTGACAAGGAGGATGTGGGAGGGGGGGGGATGAAAACCCTTTCCTGCCTATTTGTCAAATTTTTTTTAATCCCTAAAAAATAAATAACATAGGTAAAACATATGTTTTTTTTAAAGAATCAGTGAGTGTATAAATTTAAGACATGCATGTCCAGACGAAATTAGCCTAAAACTCCTGGCTGGGCTCAAAATTTTTGAAGATCAAATCATAATATGCAACGCTTAAATAGAAAAAAAAAATTTTTAAACTCAGGCCGGGCTTAAATATAGATTAGATTTTATAAGAAAAAGATTTGGGCCAGACTATAAGTTTTCATCCTCAGATGGTCTTTGATTTAATATAACAGTCATACAAAACTTAATATTTTCCTAGGTGATTAAAAAACTATTTCATAGTGATGAAAGTTAGAATTAGAGTGCAAAAGTATATGACCCAAAATTAGGAAAAGGGAGCATCTAGAGGAATGTAAAGGGGAACAAACCAATTTAATTCCATTTTCCTCTTCATTTGGGAATATCTACAGGTTTGGCTCATGATTATTTATCTTTTCCTTAGATATTTATATTTCCATAAAAGATCAAAATCGAGATAAGGATATGTGTTTGAAAAAAAGAAGTAGAATGTATAGGGTTATATTTTCATAGTTACATAATAATGAATATTAAAGTATCGATTTCTCAATATTGCCTTCTCTCACCTCATTTCTATCCGATTCAAACGATTATTGTGATTTAGAATTCGTAAATTCATTTAATAAATTTTCTAATGATAAAAATATTTTTTTTTGTTTTGTCGTGTGGAGTCATTCGAATCCAAAAGTAAATCATTATTTTCATTAGCATATAGTTTTGTGAACGAACGAAAATAAGGTGATATGATGTCAATCATTTTTTTTTGGATCAGCTTGGATATATACTCCGGAAACCTTCGTAGTTTGGCCCGGTTCGCCACCCACAAGCTCATATCAGCACATTCAACGGGCTCGGCCAAAAAATTGAGGTCCATGAAGGTATCTGATTTACAAAAGGCATATTTTGGAAAGGAATTTGTAAACTTTTCTTAGTTTAAAATCAAATAATAATATCTCTTATAAATTACGTATTCCATTCACGTGACATCTTTTGCCGTAATACCCAAAATGGCAGCTAAATTACATAAAAATTAATATTTACATTATTAAAAGGGATCTTAGAAAAAGTATGAAATTATAAATAAAAGCTCTTGTATAATATTATTGTAAATATCATAGACCTTGCATGCCGGGCCATATTTCAGTTTTTTTTTTCAAATATACCAGTGCCGGGTCGGGTCTAATACCCGGGTCTGGCCGGGTCGAGTCTAATACCCGGGTCTGGCCGGGTCGAGTCTAATACCCGGGTCTGGCCGGGTCGGGTCTAATACCCGGGTCTGGCCGGGTCGGGTCGTTTATTTTATAAACCAAATATTTCGAATAGCCCTTATTACCTATAAAAATTATAAATAAATAAATATAATTTATTTCAAAACTGGGCCCGAAAATACAAAACCCGGGTCATATCGGGTCGAAAAATTCGGTCCGGACCGTGCAAATGCATACCTCTATACCGTCTTTGATACGATTTGTATATTTTATAATATATAAAAGATAGATTGTCAATAGAGCTTAATAATTTTTTAGCTGCAAACCCCTTTCTAATCTAAAGAGGGGTGGGGGGGAGAACAAATCCCATCATTTTGGGATAGAAAAAAAATTTGGTTTCCAATTGTTAGCAATCATGACAAATATAAGATTATATAATATTAATCTATCCGTATTTCCGGTAGTATTCATCGAGTTCGGGTTTCGGATTTTAGATTTGATGTTTAGTAGTGTCTTTCAATTTTCCGATTTATGATTACTTACTTTTTATTTATTTATAAAAAATGATAAAACCCTTAAAATATTAAAAGTAGCTCGGGTTAATAGGCGATTAAGATAAAGAGGGTCTAGATATAAAAATGTGGTAACTGTATCTGTATCTGTATCTAGATAGATTTTTAATTAAAATATCTGCATCTAGATCCACTTAAAAAGTATCTTTTGACAACACAGTAATAAATAATGAATTAAGTCCCGGCTAAAATCATGAGGTATGTTAAAAACTTATTTTTGGATGAGTCCCCATTACTAAAAATTTTAAGTGAAATAATTCTTTGATGATTTCCCGTTCCTATTCCGTTTAGCATGAGAGCCAGTGTTATTATTATATACTTCTATCATTATTATTAAAAGAAAAAATAACCCGCAAGCTTTAGATTGGCCCTCCCAATAGCATTTTCCGTTGTACGCGCAGTGTTCGTCTAAACATACAACTTTTAATGTAATTGATTTATTTGTATTTTTAAAAAATAAATTGAAACGAAACGAAATGGAATGATGTGAAATGAAATGAAAGGTATTAAATAAATGAAGAAGAAAAAAAAGATAAGAAACAGTGGTTTACCGATTCCTCGGTATCGGTTTGTATTGAGTATTGATCGAAACATTTTATTTTTTTCCGATAAAAATTATTCAACTTTCTTTCTTTCTTTTCTTTCTTTCTTTCTTTCTTTCTTTCTTTCTTTCTTTCTTTCTTTCTTTCATTCTTACTCATACACATATTTAAATTTTTTTTTAATGAATTTAAATAAAAGATGAGTTAGGTTAATACCCGGAATTATCCGATTATCATTACCGGATATCCTAAAATCATAGTTAATATCCGGTAATCGGTAATAAGTGGTATTTGGTACCGAGATAATTTTTGACAAAAATTTTTTTTATATTATTTTTCGCTTACGTTCGCATCTTTGCTTCGAATTTCGAGGTAAGGAAACGTCCCTATACCCCGCTAGACATTTGCATTTGTAGGTTGAGCCAATCAAAAAACAATACGCATTCGGCCCACAATAATTCAATTTATGGTCAGAACAGGGGCTTTCCTCTGATTTTATATATCAAAATATCAAATTATTTGAATAATTTTAAACGAAAAAAATACTTTGAACAGCTGCTACTAAAATGGTCCCCTTTTTGCAAAGTTCAGTCCATTTCTCTCAGAGAATATTTATTTGGATTTGGGAAGCGGAGCTGTACTGGTACTATTTGACCTTTCCTCGATTTAGCAAAATCCAATGCTTATTGATATAAACAAAATTGTTATATTCCTTTACACTTAGCTATCGTGTATTTATTTTTTAAGAGAACAAATTTATTTTATATGAGTCGAACTGATTTTCCTAAGAATTAATCAGCATAGCGCTGAAAAATGTACTCTGATGTTAGGAATGAGCATTTCATCTAATTAAAACACAAGTTTATATTTGTATCGGCATCTTTGACACGGAAAATAATTTGGAACACCTTAAAGTCCAACTCATTAGATATTTTTCCTTAAGAATAATTCCCTAATCGAACCTTCAGCCTCAATCATGGCATCTTTGAAACGTAAAGATTGGAACATCGGTTCCTGGGGGATTATGGCGTTCTGAATAGATCTTTTGATGTAGTTAGCTGATACGTTGCCTTGAGGTTTAAGTACGAAGCGAGTTTCGGCTATTATGCTGCCCGGTAGAAAATTGAAGACCGCAATATCTAGTATGCATTCGTTAAGATCAGAATCTTGACTAACAAAGTACCAAAACTAAACATTTGTTTGTTTTTTTTTCAAAATATATATAACCCTAATTAGAATGGTGCTTTACATCCGTTTTTTATACATTGGAATTTGTCAGAGTTGTTAAAAGATACTTTTTAAAATGGATCTTGATACAGATACATCGTTTAAAATAATATCTAGATACAGATATTTTAATCAAAAATCTACCTAGATACAGATACCACATTTTATCTAGATACTTTAACAACTCCGGAATTTGAGTTACAGCTGTAATTTGGAATAGAAAATCTTAAGAAAAAGAAGCCATTATTTTAATATCCATGCTATACTATGTGAAAACAAAAAAAATTTTTTTAATTTACTCTAATTCTATCCGTTTTTATTTAAATTTCAATTTGATGTTGAACACTTTCCAACAACTTAAATCAATAATTTTTAAAATAAATTTGTCAAGATTCGCTATCTTCAGTAAGTGTTGTTAAATTGAATTTAGCCTCTAAGTTAAGTCTCAACTTGAAGATCGATTAGAATATTATTGGATAAACACGTAACTATGCTTGTTTTACAGTTGACTAAAGTTAGGAAATTTAATAACACTAGCAAAATCTAATATAAATTTTATCAAGTTTTTAAAGTTTAATGGCAAAATTGTCTGAAATTTATAGGGTAGGTGTATGATGGGAATTTTCCTGTAAAAATCAGAATTTTTTTAAATTTACAAACCGCCACCAAAAAATGATTTTAAAGTTGAAAAAAAAGGAAGAAAATAGACATATGACGCTAACATTTATAAAATAAATTTGAATCAAAATAAAATGGCGTTTATAATATATACAGCATTGAATTTTCAATGCTAAAATTTGTAAATTTTATAAATTCTTAGAAAATCTGAAACAATTTTTTCCAATCGAAACGTTTAGAGTATGCCATCAACTATTCCGAGCACGAAATTAACTGATATTATTTGAGATTTACTGCTTCTAGTAAGCTATTTTGCAGGTATTGAAACGATGGGCTGTAAATATTCTCCAGTCCAGGAACGTAAACCAAGAACAAATGAATCCGCACCCTCACCGTTAGGACATCAGCTACGATATAAAATTTATTATATATAAGTTATATTTCAAAAATATTTATACTATATAGTAAAGTTTATCATGTATATATACACACTTATATTTCAAAAATATTTATACTATATAGTTAAATAAATTTTTAATGTTGTTAAAACGGGCCCGTTTTGAACCTATTTTTAAAAACGGCCGAGTCAATAATTCAACCAGAAAACAATTTGTGTAAGCATTGAAATTCCGCTGATAGATGTCTAAACTCTCGCTGCTATCTATTTGGCCCAAATCTTCAGGCTGGCGTGATATTTTTGTGTTGTAAAATATCGGAGTTAACCATTTCTAAAAAATAGGCTAAAATCTGACCGCTTAACAACGCTGTTATAGGCTGAAACTGACCGTTGCTTCCCTTCACATCCTATTTTTTCTTTTACCAAAAATGGCCAAACAAACTTATAATAGGTAGAGTAATTAAGTGATGTTTCGCCTGAATATTATCCATTTTTATTGTCAAAATTATGATTTTTTTTTCACTAAAGAAAATTTGTGAGTAATAAAAAAAATCTCGGAAAATCTTCAATTCCTTTCTTTATAACCGAAAAATTATAAAAGAGAAGAGAAGAGAAGAGAAGAGAAGAGAAGAGAAGAGAAGAGAAGAGAAGAGAAGAGAAGAGAAGAGAAGAGAAGAGAAGAGAAGAGAAGAGAGAGAAGAGAAGAGAAGAGAAGAGAAGAGAAGAGAAGAGAAGAGAAGAGAAGAGAAGAGAAGAGAAGAGAAGAGAAGAGAAGAGAAGAGAAGAGAAGAGAAGAGAAGAGAAGAGAAGTATGTGCATAGCTTAGAGAAGTCAAGAAAAGCTTTTTAAAAATTTTTCTCTTAAAATAATATTTTTTATAAATCATTTTGAATTACCCATTTCCAATCCCTTTGAAAATAAATTTAATTTAAAAAAAATATATATGTACAAAATGAAGAAAACCCCTAAAAAGACATAGGTTGAACAAATTTTCTAAAAATAAATGTATTCGAATATAAAGATACAGATACAGATACACTTGGAAAAAAAAGAGATTCCAAAATTTTCTTCCAGTTAATAAAATTTTTATAAAGATTATACATTTGCCAGCAGCCTATCATAATAATTCGCAAAAATATCATTTATTAGTTTTTACAGAGTATATTTAAAATAACACATATTTAATAAGCATTATTTGAATAAATAAAGTGAAATCATACACAAAATTAATTGTATAACATATAATAAAATGAGGCAAAGAACATTCCTGTTTAACTCAGGTTAAACAGATTTTAAACTAGGAACACTCTTAGAAAGTGTGGCATATAGGTCAACATATGGTAATTGCTAAACGACGCCTGATTTTTTTAAATATATCATATCGATGGAATCACGTGGTGGAATCCTATCTACTATATAAAATTCGCAGAAAAAAAAATAGGACATTTGCTGGGATTCGACTCCCAAAACTACCAGATTGAAATTCACGCATTCAGCCGACTAAGTCACAGGCGCTCTTCCAAAATGGCTATATTTTTGTTGTAAATAAAAAAATCGGTTATCTCGATCGTATCTCATATTTGATTGGTTCGAATATCACGTCACATGATATTTAAACATTAACCCCCACCATCTTTTGATTTATTTTTTGTGCATTTAGATAAATATGATTCGTTATTCATATTTTTATTTTCGGTTTCAAATATAAAACAAAGATATGACATCCTTTACTTTGATATAAATAGTCAACTTACAGTTGAAGAAGTTATATAGCCGACTAAACAATAGATTGTTTAGAAATAAGACGATCCACCAGGAAACTAGAAATATTTATTATAATTAGGCTTTTCAAATAGATTATCATTAGATCTATGCCTATGTGTAGCTTATAATGTAGACACTTTTATTTATTTTTTGCTATATATAATATATAAAATATCTGGTGAACAGACTTAGGTATGGGCACACAATTAGAAAGCCTATTAATCTATATAGGAAATAAGGTTGATTGGAAGTGATGGGCAAATGTTAAATAGGAAGGCCAAAACATTAATGGGCCATTAAGTTAGGTCCAATACGAAGGAAGTATAAATTAGATATATAAGAGATAGCACGTATAACATACAGTGGAGGGAGATATTGAAAGGAGCCTACCACCAGAAAAAGGTGAAAAGCTAAAAGGATATACCATATATCTATTAAAATTCCTTACATATGCATGTTTGAGTAATAGGGTTTCGAAAATAGCCTGGCAAACATTCGCACACTGTAATTTTGTGGTTGTAAACGCATCTTTCTCCGTCGGAACAACTTTCTTCAGTTAGGGGATCGCATTCAGAATAATCTTCTAAATATAGAGGAGAGGGAGGAAAGGGTGGGGTGAGATGGGATGGTAAGATTAATGTTATAAATCTAATGTAAAATATGATTTTTTGAATATAGTAATATAGTTGTTATGGAATGTTGTGTAATATTTTAGTTGTCATTTCATGTGATAATTATTTAAGGAAGTTTAGAACTTTTACCAAGAAATTCAAAAAAACCCATTTATAGCATTGGATATCAATATAATATTAACCATAATTCTAAGTCTAACCCATACACTATATATACATATACACCGCTACTTATAAATTAATTCAGCGGAAAAAAAATTACTAGGGTTCAACTATTTTTATTTTAATTTTATATATTAAACTTTGACATGAATTAGTGTCGACATCCAGATAGTACCCGTGTCTACAGGCGCATACGCCTCGTCCATTGATGATAATGCATTTTTCCTTGGCGTATCTCTTGCAGCCTCTTTGAGAATGGACGTCACATTGATCCCCTTGCATAACTAAGCATATCACCAACATGTTTATATAAATATAACGGATAGATTAACGTGGTGTAATAATATCCGCGAGAAATATTCTAAATAATATAACCACCTTATATAAAGTGTTAACAAATGAGTGAAGATTATTATTATCGAGTAGAAAACGTCAAAACATTAGGTATACAATCTTTTATTTTCCGCGTTTGACCCTCTTCAAGGTTACTAATATAAACGCGACGCGCCTCTGAGTCCGACCTAATTCCCTGCTCCCATCCTACCCCACCCTCCTTTCCCCCCCCTCCACTAACTCCTCTAAATTTAGGAAAAGAAGCATGGAAGTCGCCAGCCTTTACAATCTCATATGGTTTTTTTTGGAAAATTTTATGTTAATCTTCAGGGAGATCTTTAAATTTTTTTTTGAGGTCCAGAGATCCATATGACTCCCTCCACCACCCAACCCATCTGATGGCTCTACTTACGAAAAGTAGAAATCTAGCATTAGAATTAGCAAATAAAATCCCAAACTAAATAAGTGAGAGCAAATCCGTATTGCCTAGTGCATCACCCTAAAAGCTGCGTGAGCACTTAAGCGTTTTTGATTTGTCCAATCAAAATTTAGAGAATCCGCCGAGTTGGCTTAACCGCGATTAAGGTCTAGTAGTAGACTCGTTTTTACGACTCAGGTTCGAAACATGAGATGCGACTTGAGTCCCACCCCACCGACACGTGTTATAAGTGCCTGCCTGCATATGGATCAAGAGTTAACTTGATGAAAAGATCTATATATATATAATACTTTGACAATATCCTTTAAAAAAATTCCTGGTGTATCCGGGAGAACAGATGCAAATAGCGCCCATTCCTTGTGGTTGACAAACCTCGTTAAAACCGCAGCCACTATTTATATGAGGATTGCAACTACCCATGACTGTAAATTATAAAAATGGTTTTATAAAAATTTTGTATATGTTTAAAGGACAGGGGTAGGTCTGCTCCATATATGAAGGATAACTCTCTAACCAATTTTTTAGATAATCACTATAGTTATAATTAGGTTATCTATAATACTTATAAATAGTGTTGTTAAATGGTTAGAATTTTAGAAACGGCTAAACCCTCAGAATTTTGTCAATAGATATCCCAATCTTTCTACTTTTTGTAAGCCAAACCTAAAAGATACCGCTATAGTAGCTAGCTAAAGTATCAGGTTAGCCATTTTTTTTTTTAAAAAATATAGGAAGCCGTTTAAAAACTCTTCGAAAATTATTCTTAATTTATATATATAGTTATATATATATATATATATATATACCTTGGCATTCTCTGGTTATGACATTTTTTATGTAAGGAGGTTGACACACACAGGCGCTCTTATCGTGAGTCATGATGCATACCTCTTCAGGACCGCATCCGGTGTTCAATTCGATATCGCACTCACCCGAAAATTCTTTTTTATTTTTTTTTGGTAAATATATAAAATTTTGCCAAAAAAAAATCATTGAAAAAAGTGTGAAATTTACCTTTTTGTTAATTATGAAAAATTATAGATAAAAAGTTTAATGAGCCTAATTCTATCGGGTTCGGGCCGGGTCGGGTCGGACCGGGTCGGCTAAACATTTTTCGGGCCGGGTCGGGCTTGAAAAATTAGGCCAGATGCAACTTCAGAAACGTGGAAAGATCTTGATCAATTTATCAATTTTAAAAAGATGCATCCAACGTGAATAAAACTTGTTTTGAACAAAATGGTCATTTTAAAATTTGAAATCCCTAGAAATTGTGAAGGCTGGTGATCTCACTGATTCTTTTTCTTTTCTAGCTAACAATCAATTTGACTCTCCTTTTAAGGTATAAAAAATATTTTCATGGAACTCTTAAAATTTTTTTTTAGGTGGCTCAACCTCCTGTTTGAATACTGCAAAGACTAAATGACTGGATGATGAGCTTTTGCTCGGATACCTCTCCCCAAAAAAATTAGTAATTTAGAACCCCTAACAGCAGCACAAAGGTTTCCTAGTGAGACTGAAAATCACAATTAGGCCTAAAAATGAGGAAGCGTGGAAAAATAGCGAAGGCGAAAATAGTTTCAAGTCTTACCATTTCTTAAAATAAATTACATCAGAATTATATTACCAAAGGGAATGAATGTAGCAAAGCTTAAATTCAGTATCATGAATCGAAATTCATATGAGAATGTCCAAATTTAATCTTGTTTCCCCTTACTCAAATGAACCGCCGAGTGAGTCAAGGAATTGGATAGATTGTAGCTAATGAAGGGAACTATAAATTGCTCATTCCCATCTCTCTGAAAAAAATGTGGTCTCGATTTTAAAAAATATACAGTAAAAACATGTCTAATCTTTGGCAATGATTCTACACTTTGTAAATAGTATATGGTTATAAATATAAATATGATTCGTGACTTAAATTATATGTTTGGTTTAAACTAAGGCTAATATATGGGAAATAATAAATTATGAAGCGTATAAAAACGTATCACTGACTTATACAAACACTGCCGTTGTAAGAATTGATAGGAGAAACGTCGCGGTATCCTCTTTTGCATTTGCAACCACCAAATTCGTATCGGTTTTTGATCGAACAATCAGCGTTTTGACTGCAGGGGTTGGTTTCTGCACGATCGCACAGACTGATAGCTATATAATCATTAAAAAAAAATAATTTATGAAACAATGACATATAATAATACCTAGACTGACGATCCATTCATAATAATAGAATCGTTAAATGCAAATCAGCTGGACATTGATATCTTACCTCCTTATTATCTCGATGATCATTCAGGTAATTCTTTAATAAGGTTTAAGTTGGACATAGGAATAAATTGACCTCTCGTTTAAAATTTTTTAACAATGATGGGAACCAAAATGGCGTCCCTAGCTGTTTTTCATTGATGTACCCTTTTAATGATTGCATCGTCAGTCTAGGTATTAATATATATCATTGGCTTACACATTGATATACTAAATTTGTTTGGTTAAGCCAAAACATGGTTTTAAATCATTCTCTCCCATTTGGTTAATTTTTATATCAAAGTCAAACTCTATTCATAGCATAATAAAATTACAATTTCCTTTTTTCAAGAACCATTTGTATGGGTAATCGGAAAGAAAAATCTTTAAATTCTGACAAAAAAAAATTTTAAAGAGTGAGTGTTTTAAAAACGAAGAAAACCTTTGATATAGTTTAGGGAATTTGCACCAAATCTGATATCGTTGGAAGGAATATTTTTATGCAATTCGTCCCACAAAAACTTTTGGGTAACTGGATTAACTGTGGCTTTATCATTTAAGTAAACCACTACCGTGGCAATGGTTGAACCTGGTCTCAAATCGATTACCCGCGTAGCTATTACAAGAGAATCCAGCGTTGGATTCGCCAGGATTGTGAATTCTAACTGTTTCAAAAAAATTTTTGAATATGATATAAGTTCACATGTTTATGGGCTGTAAAGGGTTAAGACTTGTCCTGCAGCAAGAGAAAACGTCCATCAGAACTCTTTATATTTAATTTTATTCATAATCTCTTATCTCAAGGCAGGTCGTGCCGAATCCCCGAAAATGTATAAATAAGGAATTATATGCTTTATTTATAGAAAAAGAATCATTAAATTTGATGATGAATAGGATCGATATTATAATGACATATGGTAACCAAAGTGAGTAGAGCATCGGTGAGGCTAAAAAAGGCTGTGCTTGACTGGTCCAAATATTCTTCGCGGAAAGGGTGTTCTAAAACGATTTCTACAACGAAGGTGTATTTTATGGCTAAAAAAATATATATAAAATAATACTTTTATAACTATTATGTTTGAGATTCCTGATAGATTTTTTTTACAGATTTTTACATCAACTAGGACATAATAGGATTAAAAAAGGGATTTAGGTAAAATTAGGATCAACCTGGAGTAAGTAGCTTCTAAATTTATATTACAGGGTTGGCCGTCCCTAAAGGAAAAAAATCGATCAAAAAAAAAAGAAGAAAAAGTGTAAATCAAAATAGACAGTGTCAATCAAAAAAAGAATAGTTTAAAAAAAGAAGATGATGATCATGTTACAGCTGGTTTTCTCTTGCAATATTCTAATAATATACCTTGATTATTAGTTAACATCTAACATTAACAAAATATCTAACAACGAGGAAAATAAAATTTTGAACCATTGCTAGAACTTTGCGATTTAAAGACCATGTTCGCGCGTTGAGAGACCTATAAAAAATTATTTAGTTCTTTTCGTAGCTCTGGTAAAAAATAAAAAGGGAGTTAATATTTTTGTTCCCTCCACTTCCGTTTAAATAAACGTCGCGGTGCAGTCTTTGGGCCCAACTGGTCGGGTACGCACGTACAGAATCGATTCACAGTCACGCCTATCAATGATGGAAGCAGCGGAGCGGAAGAAAAAAATATTCTAAAATTTTCTAAAAAAAATAATTAAAAGATCTGTTCGACTTTCTCGAAAAACGTCCAATCCTTTCATCTGTCCCATCAGGTCTATTGACCTTCACAATTCCATTTTTGATTTGAAAAGGAAATATACAAAATGGAAAAATTACCGACCAATCATATTTTGTAAAATTTAAAATAAATTCATCAATTTGAAATTTAACTTTAAACGTATTATTACTATTTTGGATTAGGTATAAAAAAAAATTTTACGTTGGCACGGGGCATATCGTTGTCTGTGTCTTCTCCCATATGTCTTTAGACATTCACAAACCTCTATACCCGCTCTGATCACACATTCTTCGTGACTACTGCATCCAGAATTGGTGCCTATAATACAAAGGGATGCTCCACTCCCAATCTCTTGCAAGAGCTCTCTATTGACATAGGCTATGGAATTATCAAAGTCCGGAAGCTCTAATTATATTTTTTCCCGTAAGATTACTTTTATAATTACTCAAAAAAATTTATATTGCTATATTAAACATCTAACACTAACACTAACCCTATTAGCTATAAGAAAATTGCTTACCTGAAACTCCTGGAGGTTCTTCAGAAACGGTCCTTATGGAAGGAGTCAAATTTTTCAGCGGATATGTTTGATAGGTGATTTGTTTGTTGTAGTCAAGATCTTCTGAAGCAACACTTTTTTCAATTTCATCCAGTTGACCTTCACCATTAAGATCTTCATTTTTCTTAGTTCCTTGAAAGAAGTAATCTGACGGTGAACTAACCGCATCTCTCATAACAATTAGAGATTGATCTGTTGAAATGTCATTCGGTTTGGAATAAATAAAGGAATTATTTAAGCCATCTACTGGATTCAGTGATGTCTCTTTTTTATCTTTATAAGATTTAACTCCCTCTATTATATTCAAAAAAACATTTTTGCTGGCGTTTGAATGAGTGGATTTCTCTACTTTCCAAATCTTAGGTCGACTTATTTGATCGAAATTTTTACTGGTAGAGCTCATAAATTTCATAACATTATTAATATCAGTAGCTGTAGTATCGAACATGTATCTGCGAAAGGTATCGTCTTTGATTTTTGTGACTAATAGTTTGTGCACCGGTTTTTGGAGATCATCAAAGCCTAACATTTTGAATCTTGTCAAGTTGGCAAATTTATTCCTCGATTTCGCTAAAATTTTTATATTATTTACCATATTTCCTTCATAATGGATAGCGTTCATTATATTTTTAAGATGATTTTGATTATAACTCTTATTTTTCGTGAAAATGTTTAACACTTTAGGAGAGTGCATTTCATCTAAAATACGATCTTTTTGGAGCATGGATATTGGTTTTTTAGATATCTCGCTTATATTTTTTGACAACAGAACATTACTATTTTTAGTTTTTTTTCCCACATAATTATCGATGCTAGAAGGGTCCCTTATAGTACTATATGAACTATGGTTTTCGATTAAATCATCAAATGTTCTGGCGTTGTCAGTGACTTTTAGCATTTTAGCATCGTATACCTCATCGATATAGCCCTTCCTTCCGCCATTCTTCATCGTCGAAACAATTACTACCGGTTTTGTTTGATACTCTAGCGTCAAATCGGTACTATTTTTTATTACGTATGTATTCGAATTGTGAACGGATTTCGTGTCATTTATTGGATTCTTTTGATTTGATAGGCTTTCTAGATTGCGATTGTAAGCCATCAATATTGTATAAACGCTATCTATTTGATTGGCAATATTTTGATTGACATCCCACTTTTCCGTAAAAGTCTTAGTGATTAAATACTTTTGCAAAGTCAAGATTAATCCCATTAGTAGTTGTAAACGAAAACATGTGAGCATCTTTTAAATATTTATAATTTAAAAAAAATATGTTTTAAACGCAAAAAAAAACATAATAGAGTTCCCTAAATCGTCACAATGTTTGTTACTGATTTTGAATATAGCTGCTTCTTCTGGAAAGACTCTAGGAACACTCTTTTCAGCTTTTTTTTCAAAGAAAATATAGTTGTTCGACACTAATGGAGTCCATATTTAAGATTAGCTTTAAATGTGGAATTATTTAATTTATTTTTTTTTCAGGGGCTAAATAAATTAAATTCTATTTTTTAGAGGCAAAACTATTTAAGAATTCTTGAGAGTAAAAAAGGATGAATCAGAAGGCAAAATTGATAATATGTTTGCGTTAACGTAGATAAGAACGGTCAAAACGCCATGTCGCTTCTTCCCATATCGACGGGAAAATAAGAAATAGTTAGTGTATACGCTATGTGGCATCTCTCTATTATTCCCTCTTGTAATGCCTCCTTTTATTATCTCCAAAATTTCTACTATTCTATTCCCTACTTTAAGTTCCGTCATAATCGTGATAAAAAGGACATGATTTTTTTCGCAAACGTTTTCGGCGAAATTTGAAACCTTTTTTATTCTTAAAAAAGTTTATATAAAATACTTTCTAAATTTCTTTCTTTCTTTCTTTCTTTCTTTCTTTCTTTCTTTCTTTCTTTCTTTTTTTTACTATTTTTTTTTCTTCTTTTCATTTCGCTTTTATTTCATTGTTACTTCCCTATCCCCCTCCCCTGCCTCCTTGAGATTCCGAACCCCATATTTTTTTAAAAATTTTTAGTAGAGGTCGCCACGGGGTAGATTAGTCCAGCCCGGCCCATAAAACGGGCTTTTGTTAGCGGAGCCATTTCCTATTTTTGAGAGGTATATATTTCATGTATATATAAATTTTACCGTTCTTGGATTTTTTTTTTCTTTAGAATTCCATCTTAGAAGGCCTTCCTAGGAGAAGCGAATCAAAAATGGTTCAAGCGTTTTTCGTCTTAGTCCTCACTTTAAAAATGGTTCAACAGACTTATTCGACTTTTTCGTAAATGACAGTTTAAATGAAAATGTCAAAAATTATTTATATATTAAAAATCTTTTTAAAAAAAAAGTGTCAATAATTATAGGTGTGTAGGATTTTGAATTTCTCATTGTGAATAAGAATGGAAAGAAAAAAAATTGATTTTATTCTCACACAAAATTACAATCATAAATCAAAAAGTATTTTATTATACTTATATATGTCGCAATTATTTTAAAATATTATGGTAAAATTAATTTTATTATTTTATGAGATCTTTAAATAATAACTACCAAGGAAAATAGGAACTTGATAAAGGGATTGGAAAATATGAAGTTTCATATTATGTGGATAGTGTATAAGAGGAGTTGTAATTAATGGTTCTTTTCATTCTACATATAAAAAAAAGAGGTGATGGGGATAGAGGTTGGTGACTTATTTCAATAATTATTTGGAACTTGAACAAAATGAACGTCTCATAAATCACAAAAAAATGATTGGAACGTCACAAATGTACATGGACATGTCCGGATCAATATCGATTCGTCCTGATCATCATGTAACCACTAGCAACTTTTGAATCCTCGAGGGTTTCAAGTCCTAATAAAAATAAAAAAAATTAAAGATTAATCGCTCGAGAATGATTCCTAACCTTTAATCAATGACTTAAAATTCATCAACAAATCAAATTTTATTTCTTTCTTCTTATTAAATCATTCCCTTTTTTATTATCTTAATAAAAAAAATTTTTATTATGACAATTTTTACGCTTGACACTTTGATTTTCACTTTTTAATGAATATATTATAAAATATTGAATATATTATTTAATATGATTAATTGTGCTTAAACTCAGGTTTGTATATTTTTTTATTAAAAATATCTTTTGAACTTGCCGAATTACGTGAACTAATTGGTGAATAGACTTTTGGTAACTGAAAAGTGAAGTATATGCGGGTATAAGATATGGATAAATAATAATGAATTCAGGGCAGGAGACGTAATTTAAAGATTTGCAGCTGGAGCAAGAAGCTATGACTTCTTAAAAAAATAGTAAGAGAAACCTCTAAGATGGGCAGAAAACATTAATTTACGAATCTTTGAGGTAAAATTATATAATATCGAAGTGTTTCGTAATTATTCTAGAAGACTTCGAGGGTCCTGGCGGCCCGAGACCCTTCGGCCAGTGGGCCGGATATGTACCTAATATTATATTTTCTAGCGAACTTGGAACGGTCCACAGGTTTTTTGAATTTTTTTTTTTAATTTATCGATTAACATAACTGCCCAATTCTAAAATTATAATTTTAAAAATATACAAGTTAATTTACTTCCTTATAAATTTCATAACTTTATAAAAACCTTAAAGCTAAAAAATTTTTAATAATTTCTAGAACTTTTTAAATATTAATAAACTTGTAAATTTCGGATAACAATTTAGGCCAACCTATTTTATATGCCATCAAAAATAGCCTTATATTAAAAATTATGTTTTAAAAATTTTGGAGGCAGCCTAGAGCGAAAAGAAGATTATAATTTGCATTTTTAAATGGATCTAGATACAGATACATCGTCTAAAATAATATCTAGATACAGATTAATCAAAAATCTATCTATATACAGATACAGATACCAAATTTTTATATCTACATCCTTTAACAACTCTGCAATTTTTATATATAAATATATCAGTTTTATGAATTGCATTTTTGTTGAATATATTACATAAAAATTATTAAATTTACATATTAATGTGAACAAATTTCAGGTTAATCATTAATTATGACCTCATATCAAAGAGCGTGACATTTAAATAAGATTGCTTCCATCAGGATTGTTTTCCTAAAAAAAAAAATGGAATAAATAAATTTTATCCTAATTTAAAGAAACTGATATATCATATATTTACAAATTAGAAACATTGTCGCAATTCTAACATTACGATAGGTTATGGGGAACACTAAAATATGGGCGAAAATTTTATTTTGGAATTTTCTATTTAAAAAATAATCAATTAAATTGTAATTTTTTTTTTAAATATACCCGGGTCGAGCCTGAAAATTTCTTTCAAATAAAAATATCCGGGCAAAGCGGTATATTTTAAAACCGAATATTTGAAATCGCCAGCTATAAAAATCAAAAATATTAAATATAAAACCTGGGACAGGGGTCCGGTTAGAAAAATGTTTTCAAATAATGAAATCCGGGCCGGGTGAGTCGTGGATACCTCTGCCGGTTTCTGAAATATTGCCAGTTGGATCTTGCATGTAATCAATATAGATCTATAGATTATGGGTAAAGAAAATGCCGCTGAATGATTAAATAAAGGAATAAATACGATATTCGTAAAGCTAATCATTTCCAATTATATTTTAATCTTTATCGAATGCTTCCTTCCTTTCTTTTCTTTTCTTTTCTTTTCTTTTCTTTTTTTTTCTTTTTTTCTTTCGACATTAAAAATGTAATTGAGGTTAAATTATTATAATCCTTGCTTTTGATGAAACGGAAGTAGAGGGCGAGTTATTCAGGTGCGCTCTACGCAATTCGCTTATGTGCTTTGAACACATACGGGATTTTTTCTACAACGGAATTCATCAGAATTTTCCCAGTCTATAAGAGGGCCGGATAAAGTCACTTGGATACCCCTGGGAAGGTGACAGGTAGTTGTGTCAGCAATCGCTTCAAATTATTAAATGTATAATTATAATTAGTTTTGACATAGCCAGTCAATCAACAATTACTGTATTTTTGCTTGAACAACGAAAATAATAATATTAATAAAGATAATTATTCCCCAAATTCCTGATGCTAAAAATAAAAATAAAAAATATAGTTATTTATAAATACCATTAAAAAAAATATTAAGAAGTCTACGACCAATAAAATAGTTTTCCGGGATTATACATGCATCGACCCTCTGGTCGTCAAGTTTAAACAAAGATTCCATAGTCGGGATAAGAACATGACTAATATACCGAACAAACCATATCAGTATCACATTGCCCCAGTCATT